CTCATGTTCTACAGAACGAGTTTAATGATTCAGTTGCTTCATTTAAGTCTTCATTCACTAAATTCTTTACCCAAGTTTTTATCTCATCTGTCTAGATAATTCCTTGAACTTTAATCGGGTTATTGAAAATTGGAAAAATGGAGAAAATGACTAATTGGTGTAGCCTAAATCTAATGGGATAACAAGGACCAGTCGCCATCAATGGGAGACATCTGAGGAGATTCACCTCTTTCAATTAACTTGGCAGCGTCGATTTAGCCACAGGCGTCACAGATGAGGATGTCGAATGGAAGGAACTAAAGTCAGCTTGGAAATCTACTGCATTTGGCGTTAAGGACGAGATCCAGATGTTCAACACACTAGTCAGGTCATTGCTTCTATGTGGTTCACAAACTCGTCACTGAAGGCATTTCCAACAGGCTTCTACCTTCTCTGGCTTCATACGGAAGATTAGTTGGTCTACCAGAAAGGATAAGCAACAATAAATTTTGGAGGCGAATCAACCAATAACCTATCGCCCAACAAATAATTCGAAGGAGACAGAGATGGCTTGGACACATGCTGAGTAGATGGTAGAGTGACACCACGCAGCAAGCATAACGTCGAGTGGAACCCGATAAGGAGACGACGAGTTAGGCGTGGGTCGAAGAGTGACATGGTGGAGATTGTGTGAAGAAGCAATGACATCTTGCAGGCAACCGTCTAGCCAGCTAAAGAGGAATGTAGAGGACAGGGTGAAATGGCAATATGCTGCTAAAGGCCTATATTCCAACTGGCACCCAGAAGAATAAGAATAAATCTGGCAGAATGACTGTAATAACTTGCTAGGGTTATGCATTTTTAAGCAAAAATTTTCATTGAAAAATACCTCAGTAGTGATGATCAGATTGTTTTTATTGGTATAGTTTTAAGAGACCCATAATTACTGCGTATTTTGTGACTATTTGTTTATCAAATGAAACTCAATAGTGAAGAACAAAACAAAGTTATTTCCTTGGGAAAGTGAACTGAAAATAACACCTGGATTGCTCTATGCATAAATATATATTTTCAAGTACTGGTTTTGTAGGAATTTTGTTTGATTGCATGGAGGATTTTATCATGAGCTGACTTCAGTTAGAGAACCACTGGAAAACCAGCTGGGAGTACTGGACAGCTGTTTCGTCCTAGTTTGGGACTCTTCATCAGTACGCACCCACCGGGGTTCGAATCCAGGACCTTCTGGTTACCAGGCGAGCTCGTAGACCATTGAGTCACTGGGACCCTTGTAACCAGAAGGTCCTGGGTTCGAATCCCAGTGGGTGCGTACTGATGAAGAGTCCCAAACTAGGACGAAACAGCTGTCCAGTACTCCCAGCTTTTCCAGTGGTTCTCTAACTGATGTCAGCTCATGATGAAATCCTCCATGAAATAAATATATATATATATGTCATTGAAAACTCAAGGCAGGCAGGTAATTAAACTGTCCGAGTGTATAATGACACATACGTACGGTTGTTTATCCGTGTATTATTTCGGAGTAATAATATGGCACACCTTAAATACCCCGCAACAACCCCCACCCCCCAGTTTGAATTGGCGCTACCTGGACACAAGTGAAAACGAAGAGTTCTTGATGTAAAAGGCCGTATATAGCAGCGATAGCAGCATAAAATCACGAAAATGTAATTCTGTGTGTTTAACTTTGAAACTTGAAGCCTAGACGTGGATTAGGAAGAAGACCAGCATGAACTCCGAAGCTGTCCAAATAAATACGTTATAAAAACTTTTCCGATGCATAACTTAATGACAAAAATATCAACAACAAAATATTACTCATGTCATTACGTGAAGGCAACAACACAGCAACAACAAGAAGAATTAGCGTCGTTGATAAGGTATGTTAACAGTCCACTTATTAACTTGTATCCTGAATGGTCAAATACTTCGTTTTGTTAAGGCGTAATTACAAAAGTTTAGTAATCAAATTCTACGAAACTAAGTAGTATTTTGAAATAATCAACCACTGGTTCCTTGATTTGAAATTAAATCTTTTTGGAAAGTTTACAGTTCTGTTACAATCAAAATTCTTATGAAAACTTATTTTGAACAGAATAAACCTGAAATGGAACTCTAATAAGAAGTGACGAGTTGAGCATGTATCCGATGATGGCATGAGAGGAAGGAATTGTGTGAAGAGAGGAAGTTTGCGGTCATTTGTGGAATCAGCTGAAAATAATAAGTAGAGAATCGAGTGAAATGGGGACGTGCTACTGAGGCCCTGTGTTCTACCCGGTAAACAAGAAAAGAATAAAAACTAATATAATAATAATATAATAATAATATGATAAACTTCTTTAGCACAACTACATCAAGTTATGCACTTTACGGAAAAAAATTCCTTGTACAGTATTCCACTTTTCTGAATACAGACTGAGGTTATCATGCTCTTATCATACAATGTATTTTAGTGTAAAAAAAGAAGAACTTTCAGACGAAAATGTTATTTATCAACTTTATTCTGACCCTTTTTAGTGGTGATAACCTTGACTCTGTTAATCTGTCTGTTAACATAAGTCATTCGATAACATTTTTCATAAATATATAACTAATCAAAGTTTACTGAAAAAGACAACAAAAACAAACTCATCCATGAGGCCATCCAAAATAGTGTTTTTTTTTTGTGTGAATATTTAATCTATATGAACTAAGGTGTATTGTACTAAAATTTATTGAAGTACATCTTAGACGCGCAAAAACAGTCCGCATCATGGCAGCATTATGAATCTAAAGAAATAAGGGCCTACTAATTGTAGTCAGTCTGAAATTTATTTTACTACTTCTGATTGGACCATAGGGTCTAAAGCATAAAAAGTCTCACTGTAGGTGTTGTTGAGATCGGTAACCCAATAACTGACCTTCCCTCTTTCCGCGGTTCAATATGGGTTAGTAAACTAGGCGACATTCAGGAGTTCATCACGTGAAAATCGAACTTAGACCACGTGCGAGCTTAACTAGTACTGACTAGTAGTTTGACCAAATAATATCGCTGATCACTGTGAATAGTACTGAATAACTTATCTAATATAAAATTACCTCCATCAGTATGAAACTCATTCACTGACGAGGATATCAAAGCAAGAATCGGAAAAGCAAGACAAGCTTTCACTGCTCTCAAGTCTGTGTGGAGGTCAACAGCACTCAACATGAAAACGAAAATAAGATCCGGATTTTCAACTCCAGTGTGAAGTCAGTCAGTGCTACTCACTATACGGATCAGAGACTTGCACTGCGCGTCATAAAGAGCATCTCAAACAAATTACAGACCTTCATTAACAGTTGTCTTCGCTCAGTACTCAAGATCAGATAACCTGACAGAAAAGATCAGCAACAGAGATCTCTGGGAGCGAACCAACACAGTAACAAATAGGCAGGAATAAATGGAGATGGATTGGCTGGCCATACTCTGAGGAAACCATCAAGTGACATCACTAGACAAGCCATTGCTTGAGTGGAACTCGAAAGGGAAGCGGCGAGTTGGTCGTCAGTGCAAGGGTGACTTGGAGGAGGTCATGTGAAAACGTGTGGGCAGACTTGGAGCCAGGTGAAGACTCTAGCAGAGAAACGAACGCAATGGAGACACACGGCTGAAGCCCTATGTTCCTCTAGGAATTAAAGGATACAATATATATATATATGTAGTATTAGTAATGCCTTACACCTTTATAGAAGTTTAATTAAAAATTCATCGATCGATTTGTATACAGTGTTTTACAAACATGATACCATACTGAAATATGCTTTGAATCATAACGTTTGTAAAACGTTTCATGAAATGAGCAGTAAATTTAAGAAGTACACACCAAATCAAAATTCACTCCACAAAGTCTTAAATAACGCTTCGTTGATTCGGATGTGAGGGGGAAAAGATGATAAGTGTGGGCTAGAAATGCTTCGCAAAAAACATCTTCTCATTAGCAATGGTATATTTTCTGAGAAAATTATTTCAACATAATTCTCAAAATAAAAATTCTACTTGTTTGTAACGAATAAACGAATAAGTGTGGGGGTTAATCGCTAATTTTAACAAGCATAAGCCACTAGATGTCAGTCTCGTACGTTGTTACAAGTTTCAATTAAATCAATCTGCAGAATTCAAGATGTCTAAACAGAGGTGACCTACGTAATGGTTGCTTCCGTTTACATCAGACATCATCCATCTACACAGAACTTGTTTAATACCATTTATGATTGCAGTATACTCTGAGGGGGCTGGTTTAAGTGTGAAGCGTACATTGTCTTTCTGGACAACACCGATATAAGAATATAATTTGGGCACTGTGATAAAGTATAATTCCACTATGGAATAAGTCTATTTGATAAAGGCACACAGTGATACAGTATTACTTACTGATGACGTTTCGAGCACAATTCACTGCTTGTAATCATATCAAGACACCCACGTAACTTTCAAACTTTGTTTATATTAATTCCATTTGTTTCCATCCTCTGACTTTACCGGTAGCAAAATTTTCCGTATCTCTGGTATCACCGTAAAGTCACCCCTATCGCGCATTTTCAGTGTAGATTCGATGAACAAAGATTCAGTAATGAACCTCTCTGTCTCTCCACCTGCCTGTATTACTTTTTAGAACTGTGCCTCTGTCCAGCTCTATTGTGTGATTGTGTGTTAATGCAAAACATTGCAGTAGCTGGGTTTTTCTCTAAACTAATTCATCTTTGTGGGGTCAGTCATTCTACACTTAGCTAAATTCTTCCGGACAACAGCTTCAGCGCTAACTTGACAGAATAAATATAACAACCCTAAAGATATCGAACTGAGCTATTAATAAATTGCATTCACTATCTCAGTATCGCATTGCTGTTTAGCGAAGAAACAACTCTGGAATTTTGAGAGAGAGTACATTCTAATAAGTAATGTAACTAACATTTATGACATAACAGCTTAAGCATATATGTAATGATTATAAAAAGCCCAATTTTCTATTATCATTATAAATGCACTAACCCAATAAAACGAAACAAGCTTGATATTGAAATTAGAACATTAAATATTAATTTGATTAATTTTCTTTGTATTCATTAGTCCTTTCCCATTTTTGTTTGTATTTGTTTTAGCGTTTAAATCTGTTAAGACAATCATTTTTGAGTAGTGTTTTACAGTATTTCAGTAATCAACATAGAATAGTGAAGTAATCAGAAGTTCCATAGTGATAATAGTAATAATAAGAAGAAGAAACTTAGCCGAGTTTCAATAGGTGATCATTTTTCCGATCAAGTAATTTTTTTAAGAATGCCATATCACTGTGAATAGATAGATCGCTTAAATCAAGACGTTTATACACCTTGGGATATTGTCGATAATTATTTTTGTACACAGGATAATCTTGTCTTCCATATCTACTCTGGTCATCATTTCCTTCATCCAAATCACCTGGATGTCTATATGATGTAGTATATTCATCATCGGTTAGAATTTGAGGCGTCAGCAGCGATGGTATGGTAAGCTTTGAAGAGGTTGACAATTCTGATGATGGAGATAATGATGGATAATGATGATTTACTCGAATTTTATAACATAAACTATAATTCACGCATGTAATAATGATTAGGATATGAAATAAGCAATGATATATTCTTTTGCATGAAATCATATCTGACAAATTATGTCCAAAAATGTTGTAGAGAGATTGTCAGTAGTATTAGTCAAAGAGTGCCAGACAACAAGCTTTGAAAATATTCGACAAGATAAATGGATGGATGGATGGGTAGATAGATGAGACAAACACTTAAAATAATTTTCTCTGCTAAGCACAACACGATTGGTAGATTTATTTTTGAGTTGAGTTTAGCAAATTTTCTTTTGATTAATGATTGGTTCGAAATGGTGTGATACAAAATAAATTTGATTTCTTTTCTTATTCAAATGATAATGAGTTTACAAAGAAAGGTGCTTTTTGAGACTTCAGCTATACAGCATGATCTGTTGAAAGATAATACTTCACGGACTAATGATAACTGAATCCTTGTTGAAAAGGTATTACTTTCTCATCATTCAGTGATCAGAAGCACCCATGCACACGCAAACACACACAAGTACTCATGAACTCGTTTGATGGACCACTAGTGTGACGATTTGGAGTCCGCTAGTAATCAGTAAGTAGTTTCACTTAGGGGTGTATGAAGGTGACTTGGAGAAGATCATATGAAGAGCAGGAAATTAAAGCTTGTGGACAGGAGTGAGGCCAGCTGAAAACGATGGCAGAAAGTGGAATATAGCGGGTGTGTACTAATCAGTTTTATATTTCACTCAGAACGCAAGCAACCCCACACCGTAAAAAGGACACCACCACTAACATAACTTCAAAAGACAGAACCCTATGTTCTACGCAGAAAAGTATTTGATTTCAAAGAGGTGGTCTGTAATGAGATATCTGACACAACTATCTTGAAGTTACGTATCACGTTCAAACTAACCAACGGCAATGTTTAAATATTGATACAAATAAGACAACAGGCCATATCTCCTAATACCTTGGTCAGGGCTTTAAGGGATAGGCTTTAACACCAGTGTTAATGTATCCTATGTCTCATAAATCCTATAAAAGATTCTAGTGAAGTGCTACGAATAACTTCCATATGTTCTGTATCCACAAAACCAGGGAAATAGGTGTCGATGTCGAAATCGCGTTACTCAGCTAGACAACGATGAATAATTGTTCATGCACTGTTCGGTTAGGTCATCTTAGAATAAAAACCAGGTGGTCTACACTCTACAAATCTGTCTTATCATCACCTCTGCATTGAAGAATCGAGGTATCAATACAATTAAGTATGAGTTGTACCATTATTTAAGGTTCCCAAGCAAACGCGTTTGAAAGGTATTTTTTATTTTTTTATTTTTTGATTACAGCTTGATGCCACACTGTATTTTCAGTACAAGTATGGCATTTTCAGCATGGATATCGGTAGCCCAAATTTTGCAGGCCGACCATAGATATCGGGTGTGCGTCGGCAGGGGATCGAACCCCGGACCATGTGCATGGTCGGCGAGAGTCCTAACCACTGTGCTACCGACGCACAGGCCTGAACACTGGAATGTACAGGTCGGGTCGAGGGTGGGCTGCCGATGAAGAGTCCCAGAAACAGGACGGGGCAGCTGTCTAGTGTTCTCTGATTTTCAATGATCTCTCTGAATGATGTTGACTCTTGAAGAAACCTAACAGTTGGAATTATGTGCGTCGGTGGCATAGTGGTTAGGACACCTGCCGACCATGCACATGGTCCGGGGTTCGATCCCCGACGACGCACTCCTTTACCTCGCTAAGCCAGGAATAATGCTGTGAAGAGGAAAGGTTGGGCATGAGGCTAGCAACCCCATCCTGTAAAATAAGCACTGCTACAGAAACTTCAAGCCACTAACTTGAAGCCCTATGTTCCACTGGGGAACGTGAAGGAAAAAAAGTAAGTAAGTAACAACTGGAATTAATCCACAATCCCCACCAATACTATAATGCGAATGAAGGATGTGATAGAAATAGATGAGGTGGTCAGCACTTTTAACTGAAAAGTTGGACAAATATACTCGTTGTATTACATTGATTGTTCATGTTTTGTGGCAAATGGTGTTTGTTTAATTTATTGCGTCTGATTAGTAGAATATTTCAATAGCCTTGCATAAAATGATTCATGTCTGACATACCCAGATAGCTGTGGGCTGGCGAACTGTTATTAATGTACTAAGTGATGACAGGAGGTGGAATAAAAAATGTGAATCTCGGTAGGATGCGAACCGGCAGCTTCCAAAATAGCAGTCCAACACTCCACTAGCTCAACTACGAGAACCAACTACTTGACATGCCATCACTCCACTGAAGCTCAGCTGACAGAACACGGGACACTGCGGGTTCGAATCCTGCTGTAACCAATGCCTTAATTATCTTTAAAGTGTATTTTTTGATTATTCGACCTACTGGTACTCAGGCACTCTCGATTCCTCTAAATTCAATCCGTAACATTTTAGCCAGTGTAGTTGAAGCTTTTAGCACATCTATAGACGACTGAGCCGAAATCATCTAGAAAGAAAGTCGAAAAGACACTATTCATTCCTTATTACTTTCAACGTTTACCAGTGCACAACTTTAGAGATATTATTCTTGTTTAAAAACAGTAAGGATTCAAGGTATTTTTTGAAATATTAAAATTCTCGAAACACCAAAACTCACCCACGAAACGAAATTCTCATAAAAACATTTTCGAAAGCATGTAGGAGACAGCATTGAAAATAAAAATGTTAACTTGCTATCAGGTGTTTACATCTGTGTTAAATACAGACAGAATCTGATTGTGTCCAGCACACATATATACATAGACCATCGAAACTGTATTCGAATTATGGTTCACTGATAATCTGATGATGCGCATTAATGGCTTAAGAACAGACTAAATACCATCAGTTTATACAGACTGGCGTGTATATACATATACTCATTCTGACATGTATCAGCAAGGAAACAAAGCAAACTTAGGTCGAAATAATTCTTTATCGATCGGTTGGTCGGTCGGTTTTCGACATAGAACTTTGCACATATGTGCGACAGTTCAAGTCGCCACGCTCCCTCCTTGTAGCACACAAAGCAAGAGAAGGAAGTAGGAGAAATGCATAATATAGACAGTAAACAGAGGTGTGAGACAAAGGAATAGTAATAACGGAGAACAAAACAGTTTCATTGGAAATCATAAGTCACAAGGAGTGGATACATCTGCGCTAGCCATTGAGAACGATTTTGAGCCATGTCACCAATTGTTTCCAATCATTGGTTTTTACCATCCCGAGGACCCCAACTAGTGCAATGTATTTTCTCGGCATTCCCTTTACAGCGAAGCATCGCCAGAGAACCTCTCGGTCGACAGAATCGAATGCCGCCTTTAGGTCAAGAAATATGACGATTGTTGGACGCCGGTAAGTGCGCTTATGTTCCAGAATCTGTCGAAGGGTGAAGATATGATCAATACACCCTCTTCCCGGCCTAAAACCTGCCTGGTTTTCTCGTGTTTCTGCCTCCCGAGCACCACTTAGTCTACGCAGTATGATTGAGCCTAGGATTTTAGATACTATAATAGTCAAGCTAATCCCTCTGTGATTACCACAAGAAGACTTGTCTCCATTCTTGTATATCGGGATGATCAGCGACTTACACCAACCCTATGGGACTTCCTCTGATTCTAAGACGCTGTCTAGAACCTCAGGTAATGCAGACAGCAAACTGTCTCCACTGTACTTCAATTGGAGTTTCCATCAGGTCCGCTGCTTTGCCTTGCTTCAGATTAGTGACAGCTTTAGTAACCTCATTTAAGGATGGAGGACATGTGTCTATATCCCATTCAGGGAGGTGTTGCATGTTCGGCAGGTTAAGTGTGGCTGTAGGCCACAGTCGTCTAGTGGCGATCCAGTCGTCTATCCTGGGAGCTAACTATGGTGCCATTTTTCTCCGAGATTGTTTCGCTTATCATTTGCCTGTCTTATTTAGTTTGAATTCAGGACTCTCATTTAATGACACTTACAACAGACTATCCTAAAGAAGTGGTATCCATGATAGCATCGATTAAAATATATTTCCAGGTAGATTTTTAGTTTTCAATAACCGACATCAGTTAGTGTACTATTATATACCAATGATCACTAGGTAACCGTTTCGTCCTATCCTGGTATTCTTCAGCAAAGCATACTAATGATTCTATCAGTAGTTGAACGCGAAACCTTCAGGTTATAAGATGAGATTACAGACCAATTAGCCACCTGGTGGAAATTCAGTGTGTTCTGAATGCCTAGAAGCACACTAAGGTTGCAGTTATCAGAGTTAAGTCAGAGTTAAAGAGGCCATCAAATTGGTTGAACTTCAAAGTTGGTATCGTGTTTATTAGATGTACATATGATTGAATAACATAGATTATGCTAATCTTAAGAAATTATCTGAATAATGAACCACACTGTAAAATTAACCACTTTAGTTAGATTTTGCAAATTGGTAGCTTGTTGATGTTAGATGGTTGAAGGCAATCGGCAGGAAGCCTTGCTGGACCTACGTTTTGTGCTAGTTGGCACTCACCCGTCAGTAAGGCGTATTTGAAACCTTGAATGAACTAATATCCGTTCTGAGATTCAAACCTGCGTCATCCAGTGAATACTGCAGTCAGAAACGTTACCACTGAGCTATTCAGGCTCGCAAATGACCTCTATGACTGTATTGGATAATTTTGATTAGACACCTCAGTGATAACATCTCAGACTACAGCACTGGGTGAGGCGGGTTCGAATCTCAGAATGGATATGAGTTCCTTCGAGGTGGCAGATAGGCCTAGCACAAAATCTAGGTCTAAGGCCTCCTTTCGATTGCCTCCAACCATCTAATATTAACAGTTCACAGTGCACCGTGATGGTAAGTCACATAGAAGGGTGGCCACATTGCCAAAGTGACTGTTAGAATTCAGTCTGGATACGTCACACTAGTTACTAGTGTCCAATCAAACTGGTAGCTTTTGCTGATTATGGGTCGTACCGTTCAACGAATATATCAGATGTCTTTTTGTGATTTCTAGGCGCTTTGATAAAATATGTTAAATAGGAAATCAGTCAGAACTTTCCAAAAGTTTCGCACTATGCCGAATACAGGCCATGCATGTCTCCGCTTTTCCAATATCTACAGACGTACTATTACTTTAGTGGGAGGAAATGACACTGATATTTTTCTTCTTGTCTAACAACTGTAGAAACACCAGTTGG